AAATCCCAAAGAATCAAGTGAAATGAGTGATATAAACGTCAACAGGACTCTCAATGAAAGTTATAAAAGATCCGTTTTTCGTCTTTAACAAGGATTTTGAATGTTTTGTTACACTGTTATAGTAAAATAATGAAACATCGACTTTCAAAAATTTTTTTCTTCACATCATAGTGATCATCCCCAAAAAGTGTGAGTACCATTTGAACATTTCTCGATATTGCTGTCAGTTTACACATAGCAATTCTATCGTAGTCACCCTGAAAATGAAAATATACATTTCCGAAAGCTCGGACAAACTGTAATGACCTCACCTCCACTCTGCTGCAATTCCCACTAGCAAACTATTTTTATATAATTATATTTATACATTCTGCTATCATTATTGCGTAAAAATATTGCCCTTTCACATTTATTACTGCGTGGATATGAAAATCTCAACTTTGGAAAGTAAAATTGAGAATATACAAAGTGACAAAAGTGAGATGCAATAGGATCGAAGACTTGGAACAAAAATCAAAATTGAATCAATTGCGTATTTTTGGCATCCCAGAGGGTGATGAGGGGAATTTGAAGATGAACGTCTCTTCAATGTTCGAGAATCAGCTGGGAGTTAATAATGTTATTATCGATCAATGCTATAGAACTGGGAAACGAAGGGAGCATGAAACATCTAAACCAAGAGCTATTGTCGTGAAATTTGGAGTAATTTCACACAGAAATATGGTGTATATGAATAAAAGGAAACTGAAACATACCAAAAGATATTACAAAAGATCTAATCCCTAGTAGATACGATACACTACTTCTAGCAAAACAGGAAATTGGAAAGGAAAAAGTATCGACTATGGATGGAGTAATATACACAAAAGTAAATGGTGAAAAAATCGCTTTGAAATCTGAAGATGACGTCATGAAAATGAGTATTCGATGGCCGGCACTGTTATTTTTTTTTTCATCAAAAAATTAGTAGATATAAATAGTCTGGTAGGAATTTTTGATATAATCGTATAGTAAGGTGCATATAAATATATAACTGATATTTGTATTGTTTTTTAGTGACATTGGATACAAGAGGAGAATGAGAGAATTGAATTTTGCGTTCTTAAATATAAGATTTTTGACCAATCATTTTGCGGAGTTCAAGGCACTCTTAGGACAAAAAAAATATGATGTAGTAGGAATTTCGGAAACTTGGTTATCTGAGAATATAACAAATGATATAGTACACGTAAAAGGTTATACATTTTTCAGAAAAGATAGAGGATCTCGTGGTGGAGGTGTTGGTATGTATGTTAATAATAATTTGGCAAGTGTAAGTTTGGACGTGCAAAGTAATACTAATTTGGAACAAATTTGGGTTCAGGTTCAGTTGGGTAAGCGAACTTATAAAATTGGTTCATTATACAGACCTCCTGAAGGATTTTTTCCGGATTTTATAGATATATTCGAAGATACACTTTTGCAATTTTCAGTATCCTGCGATGAGATAATCTGTGGTGGGGATGTTGACATAAATTTTTCAGATATGGATAATTCAAGTACACAGGAACTCAACCACTATATTGAAACGTTCAATCCTCAGCAAGTCATTGATTCACTCACTAGAATTACCAACTCTGATATCAAAATACCAAACAAGTTTTAAAGCTGGTACTGAGGATGTTTCAAATATTCCCGATCATTCTTTGGTTTTTTGTTCGATTGGAAAAAAAAAAGAAAAAAAAACTGTTGAGTACATTACAATGAGAAATCTCAAACATATAGATACAGATATTCTACAAGAATTTTTATCAAATACCCCATTTGAAATTGTCGTGTATCTGCAAGATATCAACAAAAAAGTGACTTACATAAATCATTTATTGATGAATATTAATGATACTTTTTCTCCACTCAGGACAATTGTGATAAAAGACCAAAAGCCGCCTTGGTTAACTGATACTATAAGGCTTATGATAAAAATGAAAGAAAAAGCATATAATAGATTCAGAAGAACTAAAAATGATAACCATTTCAATTATCATAAGCAAATCAGAAACCGAACAAATATTTCTATCAACAACGTAAAAAAAAGATACATCGAATTTTGTGAAAACAGAGATACTAAACTGATCTGGAAAAGGTTAAATCAATTAAATATTACGAATAAGCAAAAAAAATAAATCATTACCTGATTTTCTTAATAAACCTTCCGAAATCAATGAGTTTTTTTTGCAGTTTTCTGCAAAAAGGGTATCCATTGATATAATTTCATTACATTACTATAATCAAAATCGCAAAGCACGATTCACCGAGTTTTTTTTTTAATTTCACTACTGTTGATATAGAAAATGTGGAAGGACATCTTACGGAAATAAAATCTTTAGCAGTAGGTTCAGACTTGCTTAATCTAGAAATGATCCTCCTATGTTGCCCAATAATTTTGCCATATCTAACGAACATTCTGAATTCCTGTCTGTTAGCTGGTATCTTTCCGAATAGCTGGAAAGTGGCAAGAGTGACTCCATTGCCAAAAAAAAATTAAATCTCTAGTTTTAATGAATTGCGTCCTGTCAGTATTTTACCGTGTCTTTCTAATCTTGGAGAAAATTATGAATGAACAGATACGCTTTCATTTGGAAACATATTCAATATTACCAATCAACCAATCAGGTTTTAGACCCGGATTCAGTTGCACCACTGCTTTGTTGAACATAACAGATGATATAATCAAAGCCACTGATTCTGAAAAAACTACTATACTTGTTTTTCTAGACTACTCGAAAGCTTTTGATACTATTAGTCATGAGTTGTTATGCGCTATCTTAAAATTTGTAGGGTTTTCGAATGAGGCAAATGCTCTCATTGCTAGTTACTCAGATGAAAGATATCAGTTTGTGGGGACTTCTATAGGTCAATCCTCTAAGGAAAAGATATGTTGTGGTGTACTCCAGGGATCTATTTTGGGACCATTGTTGTTCAGTATTTATACAAATAACATTACTACCAGTCTCACACATTGCAATTCACATCTTTACGCAGATGATACACAAATATATTTTCCTTTTGATCCTGATATTTATAAGAATGCCGAGAAAACTATCAATGATGATCATGACAAACTAATCAAGGAATCAGAGCGTCATAATTTGCATATCAACCCATCGAAATCGTCCATCATGATATCTGGTGAGGAAAAAAGACATATTGAACAAAATATATGTATAAAGGTTGGTGATAAGAATCTGACATGCGCAAATAGTGTGAAAAATCTCGGACTAGTGTTAGATACTGACCTGAGGTTCAAAAACCATATCAGCCAATGCCTTCGAAGAGGCTATGCGTCACTCAAATTGTTATATTCTCAACGTACTCTGCTATCAAAAGATCTCGAAATAAAACTAACGGAGGCTCTTGTTCTCAGTCATTTCAATTATTGTGATGTATTATATGGCCCGTGTCTAGATAATATTGAGAAAAAACGAATTGGAAAAATACAAGAGTCTTGTTTACGTTTCATATATGGCATCAGAAAGTTTGATCCTGTTTCACATGAGTTGAGAGATTCCAAATGGCTCACCATGCAAGAAAGGCGAAAGTTTCATTCCTTAGTTTTATATCATAAGATCATTACAAATAATTGTCCTGCATATTTAACTAATAAAATTAAGTACCGAACCGACGTTTATAATTTGAATTTGAGATTTAGAGGTCTCATCTCACCACCACCACATAGAACCACATTTTTTCGTAGATGTTTTTCTTTTAATATATACTCTTTATATAACCAATTGTCGGTGCCATTGAAATTCGTCAAAGTATCTGTTTTCAAATCCAAACTTAAACAACAATTGCTTAATGTGCCTTGAATTTTTCATGAATTGTCATGAAGCAAATGAAGATTATAATAATGTATGTACATAATATATATATATTCAGATAACTCTCTCTCTTCTGTATCACCCAATATAACTGAATTTATTATTATATCGTTTTATGCATAGATGAAAAACTGAAGATATTGTTAACTGTTCTTGATTTGTTTTCTCTTTTGTAACAAAGCGAACGTATACATTTTTTTTTTCTGGAACAATATTTGAAGGGGCTGAACTAGATTTTTTCTGAATTGTTTTCAGCTCTTTTTTTTGCATAAGTTCAATTCATCACATTTTTTGTAGAAACTTCTTTCTGATGTATGCAAAAATAAACGATAAAATTATTTTTATTATTATTACTGGTACTGGTACTGGTACTGGTGGGGGACGTTTCCACGTCAGCAACTAGTCCCCAATGGGACCTTTTTGCCAACCCCAAGTGTTTTCAATGACTGATGTGGTTCGCTCAAGAGAGCTGGCTAGCATCCTTTTTCAGGCACCGCCCATCAGCTCTCTCTTCAGAGTTTTTCAGCTGTGTTTTGTAGGCTAGTAATGTACTCACAACCATATGCGCAGTGGCAGGCCTGCTAACTATCATCGTTAACCCCCGAGACCGAGGTCTACTTAAGCAGCTGGCCCGCTCTCACGCTCAGCTGGTAGTTTTCCACACCCACCTACATACACCGTCCTACTTCTTCTCTGATGCTCACAACCACATCATCATATCGCTCGTGCGCGTGAAAAAGGAGATAAGTCCGAAAGAGTGTGATTTGAGATAAATTCACAATCAAAGATGTCAGGTTTCATTCTTTCAATGTGCAAAAGGAGTTATCTCAAAGCGAGCTCCTTCTTTGATTGAGTATGTGAGTGCTAAAAGAGATAAGTCTTTTTCAAATGTGCCTGCAGAGTTATCTAGAGATATCTCTATCTTCACTATCATCTTATTGTGCAAAATAAGTCAAATTGAGTTGCCTCCGTTCTCACAAATATAATTTCAGAACTTATATCTATTTGCACAAAACTTGTCAGATCTTGTTTGCTGTACTGTTCCATGCTTGTCTCCTCGCGTTCGCGTGGCGTTAGTTATTCAGTTTGTCAAGGGAAATCGAAGCTGGCGGAACTGTTGAACAATAAATTATTGACGCTATGTGTTCAGAAAGAGCTGCATTTCTTTTGAGGTTACGTGAAAAGGCTCGCTTGGGCGCAGGTATGTTTGTATGTGTGTACGAGTTGTATTCCAGTTACAGAATCTATAAATTCTGGTTATTCTTTTCATTAGCACATCAGTGAATGAAGCATTTTCCTCAAGTAACACCTATGCATCATTTCGTTTGAAATTTGTGTTGAAAATTATATGTTTCAGGCCAAAATCGCACAAAGTATCCAAGAAATGAGGATGACATCAGGTCTCCAGAAGATCTCTCATCTTCAACTCTTTCAGACCTCAATGGTAACTGAATATTTTATCTCCATTCAAATTATATCATGTGGAATCACATTATTTTCAGGCTCTAACATGGTTACTAACTTCAAATTAAGCGATGATGCAATCATAAATGTATCTAATAATCCCGGTTGCAGCAGTGATAGTGAGTTTTTGTTGCATGTATCAGTTAGAATATTTGAGCAAAATATTATTGTAGGACCCAACATTATACAAATCAGAGAAGAGCCAGAAGATGACATTATTGAACACGAAATGATAGATGATAGCGATTTAGATCCTGATTTCACACCGGATTCGGAATTTTCAGATTCAGAAGATATTACATTGAGTAGAATGAGACAAAAACTTGTTCGACGAAATAAAGAGTTAGAGATTGCTCCAGTTGAAGAAACTATAGTCAGGCGGAAAAGGGGCAGGAAAGTTATCAAAGGAGATACGAGAGAAGCAAGAAATCGAAGGAAAGCGTGTCGAAATGTCGGAGAAGAATATTCTACCTCAAAAGGAAAGCTGATTCGTAATCGCAAATGCATAAAGTTGAATGATTGCCGAAAAGGTTGTATGCTGAAAGTGAATCATGATATTCAAAGAAGTATTTTCGATGATTACTGGAAAATAGGCAATTATGATAAACGAGTTTCATACATAGCTAGTCTCATTTTGAGAGAAGATAAAAAAACTGGAAAAACGAATCTCACAAAGATACGGCAGTATAACTACAGGTATCACTTGAAAGTATCTGGGTCTATGATAGAAATCTGTAAAGGATGTTTCAAAAAGACGTTCGACCTATCCAATAAATACATTGAATATGTTCTGAAAAAGACAAGCTCTTCAGGGGTTACGCTGGATGATCAAAGAGGGCATCATACACCTGCTAACAAAACTAGTTCTGATAGGATGGATTCAGTTAAAGAACATATTTCACTAATTCCTACATATGAAAGCCACTACTGCAGGGAAAGAACTGGAGATAAGCGCTTTCTACCATCTCATTATACCCTCAGTAGAATGTATGATGAATACAAATCATTCATAAGTCCGCTAAAACCAGTTAGTAGAAAAATTTACGAATCGGTATTCCACACGATGAATATTTCAATCAAGAAATATAGCAAAGATACTTGCCAGCTTTGTGATAGACTTCACAGTATGATAGCTAATGAGAAAAAAGAAGAAGTGAAACAGAAGTTGAAGGTCGATTTACAAATTCATCAAAAAGAAGCAGAAGCAGCATATTCAGCGAAAAAGAAAGATAAAGAAGATAGTCAAAATGATGAGACCAAGGTTGTATACACCTTTGATCTTCAGCAATGTTTGCCTACGCCAAACCTGAGTACCTCAGTTGCATTTTATAAAAGGCAACTGTGGACTTACAATCTAACGTTACATGATTGCTCCCATAATAGTACGACTTGTTGCATGTGGTACGAAACAGTATCTGGAAGAGGCGCGAATCAGATTGCATCATGTTTATTCAAAGAGCTGCGTTCTTCACAAGCACAAATTAGACAGGTTGTACTCTATTCCGACACTTGTGGAGGACAAAATAAAAATTCCCATATTGTTGTTATGTTCCTACTTCTCATGCATTTCTCTAGTCTGTCTACAGTAGACCACAAATTCTTGATTCCAGGCCATACAAGGATGGAATGTGATAGCGACCATTCAGTAATAGAGAAAAAAAAGAAAAAATATGAATTTCCTATAGAACATCCTAGAGATTGGTATCAGTTAGTGAGGCTATGCGGGAAGAAGAAAGCTTTCAAAGTTGTAGAAATGGAACAAGATGATTTCATTGATTTTGCCAGTTTGCTGAAAAGTCACTTCCAAGTTCGAAAGGTTGATGACCATGGTAACCGTTTCATCTGGAAAAATGTCAAATGGATAAGATACGAAAAAAATAATTATGGAATGTTCACATACAAAAACAGTCATGACCAGAATGAGGAGTTCAAGACCATGAGCTTCCTCAGAAGGGGTCACGTAACTCCGCCTCAAAAATTACCAAGGTGTAAATTCCCAAATTACATATCCGAGGAGAAGAAAAAAAATCTAATTGAACTATTACCCTATATAAATGGAATTTTCCATGATTTCTATAAGAACTTACCGACGGAAAAAACTATTAGAGATGAGTTGCCGGATTTGGAAGAAACATCATCTGCTGATGAATAGTGTACCAAGAGTTATTTCAGCAATATTTTAGTGCAAAATGAGTTATTTGTGTTTTTTTTGTCCATTTCTGATAATTTTCCATCTACATTGTTCACGTTTGTTTCTTTGAATATGAATAAAATATATTTTCTGACAGAAATTACCTTCAGTCTAATCTTATATCCTGAAAAATTCAGTTGAACTGATGAAACAACTTCTAGTGCCTTTATCTCGAAATGCATTTTTCACACTTATCTCCGTTTACACGCGCTTGAGCGATATCTTCCTGCGTGTTCTGTGTAGGCTTTGTTACTAACTCCATGCACCACTTTAGGAGCAGCACTGTTAATTGGAACGCAACAGCGAATCGTGCAGGACTATCCCCAGCCGATGCTCCGAAACTTCACAATATTTAATTCGTAAATAAAATATTGAAAAAAGTTCCTTGCCCGTGCTGGAAATCGAACCCACGACCTTGCGATCGTGAGACGGACGCTCTTCCACTGCGCCAATCCCGGCTTTTATTATTATTATATCTGGACGCGATAATGTCATCAACGTTTAACTTCGAATAGAAATGCTTGAAAGGATGTAAAAAAATGTGTTTAGAAAGCCCATGCCACCACCTATCGATAGCGGAATATACGAAATTCCAGTAATCCTATCTAGAGTATCTTATTGCGTCCCCATGTTTGGCAACATTGCATGATACATCTCATTACATTCATAGTGAGAAAAAGGAGTTCCAAGAGCATCGTGCGTACCTACAAAGGCTAGGAAAAGAAGGTAGGTGTTTGAATTTATTCTGAACTTCTAGAGGTTATGAGTTCTTGCGAATACTTGCATTGCCATAGAACAACAACTTTCAAGTTCCAAAAAGGTTTGAGCCAAAGATCGTATGGATTTTTGGCACCACATATTTATCGCAAGATTCCCAACATAATTAAAGTAACCGCAAACAAAAACCAGTTTAAGAAATATTTGAGATCGTGGCTTTATACTATTCCTCGAAGGGAATTACACAACTGGATCGATCTGATAATCTAATTAAAAAAAAAAAAAAATATATTCATTGATTCTGTACTGACGCATTGTTACATTGAGACATTTTTGGATTTCTTATCAGGTATAGTATAATTCATATGAGTATTTCATCTCATGACCAGAAGGTATCCAAGAAAATGTGGATACAAAACATAATCAAATTATAGTATATATGTTCATTTTCAATATCTACAGTGTTTCTATATCAAATTATATTGAATAAAATCAAAGTTTTTATTGTTATTGAATAATACCTACTGGATTGTTTAACATGATGTAAAAATTATGTATTTAATTAGTAATTGTTTAATCTGCTTTTCATTTTCAATAATAGCAGTTTATTATATATAACATAATATCAGCCAATCAAATTATGAATTATTTATTGTATTCAATCAGACCTACTGAATGATTCAACTCTTTATAAAACTTATGTATTTAATTATTAATTCTTAACAAATATTCACGATTCGATTTAGAAATTTATTAGAGAGAAACCGAACACGTACTAATCTACGGATTTCAGTGTATCTACTCGCTCTATTTATTTCCATATCGTTTCAACTATTTGTAAAAAAAGTGTTTGTTTATATTGGGAATAAATAAATTATTATTATTATTATATATAGAATTCCGAAGCTTTGTCGTTCTTTAAACGAATGAGTTTCGGTTAAGTGTTTTTCGACTCATTTCGAGGTTGACAACGTGAGAATGTGCTGGCTGAGCCTGTCGAGTTTGTCTGAGTGGTATTGTCAGTGATGGAATGATATCAGCGATTTCTGAGGGATTTATTGTCGAAGTATCTATAGAAAAGTGAAAAGTCGCCGACGGTGTTTTTATGCAGTCAAAGTAGAACTGAATGTGGCATAACCCACTAGGCGGATGGCTTCTCTCTGGATAGAATCTAGGAGGATCAATGTATGCTGAACTGTGATATAGATTCAATAAGTCATAATTCATGTATATTGTTATATGAATTGGTGTTTTGATTATTAATATTCTACCTAAGTAATGATACATGCAATGAGCAATGTCAGCAATCTCAAACATTCCGTAAGAACATTGCACTGACAAAAGTAGGTTTTTGTTAATATTGTAGTCACCGAACTTTCGTACTTTGATCGGACCAGGAGTGCTGATCGATATATTACAATAGATATTCATGTTTGATGGACTGGGAATAGTAGTAAGAATGTATCATGTACTTGCGAACGTAACATCGGTGATCGGAATAAACCAACTTTTCTGGTAACTGTGTCTATTCAATCTACCCGCAACAACCAACATCTCATGGCGATCCTGCCAGTCCAGTGAAAGTGAAATGAGTGTGACGAAATAAAAACAACATGTGTGGTTCTAAAGTAACGACCGAGGAAAGATTCCAAATTCAAGCTGTTGGTACGGGATCAAGTAATGCAAGTTCCACCACACTCACACGAACTGACAGATTGATCATCCCAATCTTAGTCTTCATCTTTGTTGTCATCATTTACTTCATCTGGAAGAAAGTGCGAGAAGGTATGAAGAAATCAGTAGTACAACAAATTAAGCTGAGCGAACTTCGAAGATCACGTGATGGTCTCAATTCAAGAGGAGACAATTAGAACATCCCTGTGAGCAGCGCTTTATGAGTGACAAAACCATTTTGTACGAGTTGGAAGAAGCTGAAGCGCAAATAACAAGAATTGAAGAGAACCTCCGCAAGGATTCATACGAGAAGCGAAACGAAGCAGCAACCCAGAGACGTTACCAGAGGTTAGATAACTTCAATTTAGTAGTTAATAGGATTGTAGAGCAATTTAATAAAAGTAGCCCGACTAAACATGATATTGCTAAAGCACAACTATATATAAAAAGAATTAGAGAGATAACTGCCAGAGTCAAGAATATTTCAGATGATAGGTCTGAGTTACTTAGGAAATTAGGTGTTAGTAATTAAGAAAGAACTAGTATTGATAATAAATCTATAGGTAGTAGGAGGATTAGTCAAATTGGGAATGAAAATACTGATACAGATACAGGGTTCACTTACAAAGAAATCATGAGTGGAGATAAATTTGATTTCAAAACAGCAGCTAACTTGCTACCAAAATTAAACGGCACAACTGAAGGCGTTTATCAATTAATAGAAGGTATAGAATTGTATGAACCAGCTCTAGATGCAGCAGGCAAAATAATGTTAATTAATTATGTTCTCAAAGCTTGTATTTCTCATAGAGATAAGATTAGAATGAGAAATAATTATATCACTAGCCAAAATTTAATAGAAGATTTGAAAAGGAACTTTTCACCAAAACAATCAGCTCCAACTCTTTCAGCCAAATTACAGAATTTGAAACAGGGTTTTTTGAACATCGACGAATATGGAAGATCAATAGAAAAATTAATGTCAGATCTTACTTTAGCTCAGGCAGGTAGTAACCAAAATTCCATTCAGATTTTCAAGGATCAAAACGAAAAGTTAGCCATTGACGTTTTTGCAAAAGGTATAAGAAATGTAGAGCTGCGCACTATAATAAAAGCTCGAAATTATGAAACATTGACTGAGGCAATTAACGGAGCGAAAGACGAATTTCAGGACAACCAGCATCAACAATCGACTATGTTTCACATGAGAAATAGACACCAACATTTCTCTAACCAAAACTACCAAACCAGAAATTTTAATTATAATTATAGAGGCCATAATGTACATCAAGGCAACTTTAACAGACAGAATAATACACGATTCAACAAACATAACAACTATAGAGGACGTTTTCAAAATGATAATAGACAGAACAGATACGTAAGTAGAGGTAGTTTCTCGCAAAGTGATCAGCGAGGTAATCAGTCAAACAACCATTACAAACCGAGTCAAAATTTCAGGAAAAACAGTAGGAGACAAACTATGTTTTTTGCAGATGAGGCACAAAGCGAAGCGTCGGGAAGTCAAAATAGCTCACAAGAGCTAACGTTTTTTCGAGGCCAATAGTGATAAAAGTAATTTTATATTCAGCGTGCACGGTATCAATTTTGTTAAATTTGAATATAATAACAAAGATATACATTCACTACTCGACTCAGGTGCATCAATTAGCGCAATTTTCCACAAACATGTAAACAGACACTTGCAGACAATAAATTATGCAGACATGATCAGAATCGACGGAATTTCAGGGTCAACAAATGCGCTAGGATCAACAGACGTTTCATTTCAAATTGGTAATAGTACGTTTACGCATGAATTTTCCATAATAGAATCTTTTGATGATAACATACAGGAAATTTTAGGAGCAGATTTTCTCAAAAAGTACTCATCAGTCATCGACTATGAAAATTTTGAGTTCTCGTTTACAGTAAATAACATTGAATTGACCATCCCAATAGAGTCAAACCTTAGCAGAAGCACTAAAATTCCGCCACGTTGTGAAATTAGAAGAATTTTGAATGCATAGTACTTCCACAAGAAATAGCTGGCGGCGTTTTTGTTGCTGGATGTATTGCAAAACCTGTAGATGGGAATGAAATTCCAATAAAAATTTTAAATACCCGTGAAGAACCAGTAGAAATTAGGAATTATGAACCAAAAACTGTTGACGCTAAATTGTTCGACATTATTGCATATAACGACATGAATACCTCATCGGTCCAGAGAGTAGAAGAAGTTTCAAAATCGATTTGTGCAGACGGACTGAACAAAGAAGAAAAAAGCGCGCTTGACCACATATGTGCAAAATTTGCAGATGTTTTTCATTTACCTAATGACAAACTTTCAGTAAATAACATTTATAAACATTCAATTCAGCTAGAGGAAAATACAACTCCTGTTTACACAAGACCTTACAGACTACCCCAATCGCAAAAGCTAGAAATTGAGAAACATATTGATAAAATGCTGAATGACAAAATAATTGAACCGGCTTAATCTCCCTGGTCATCTCCCCTACTAATAGTACCAAAAAAGGCGAACGAAAACGAAGAACGCAAATGGAGAG